TGCCACGCTGTGAGTGTGGAGGCCAGGAGACAACTTGTGGGAGCAGTTCTCTGCTTCCATCATGTGGATCCCAAGGATCAAACTCAGGGGCAGGGGTGGGAGGGACATTTTCTTCAATGGTATAGGACTGGTAAGGTGCCCATGATACTGTTTAAAAAAAAAAAAAAAACTGGCTGGTGAGATGGCTCAGCAGTTAAGAGCACTGGCTGCTCTTGCAGAGAACCTGGTTCAGTTCCCAGCACTCACTTGGTGGCTAACAACCACCTGTAACTCCAGTTCCAGGGACTCCAACGCCTTCTTCTGACCTTTGTGGGCACTGTACAACACAGGTGCACTTACACACATGCAGGCAGTATACTCATACACATAAAATAAAACTAATACTTTTTAAAAACCTTATCTGTGCTCCTATAAGCAACCCTAATGAAACTCGTTGAGCCGTTTTTAAAAAGACATAAAAGTATAATGGGAAAATTAAGAAGAGGAAGGGGATGAGGGGAATGGGAGGGGACAAGGGAGGGGAATGGGTGAATAGGATCAAATATATTGTGCTCACATATGAAAATGTCATAGAGCCCGGCGTGGTGGCGCACACCTTTAGTCCGAGCACTCAGGAGGCAGAGGCAGGCAGATGTCTGTGAGTTTGAGGCCAGTCTGGTCTACATAGCAAGTGCCAGACCATCTGGGACTATAGAGAGACACTGTCTCAAAAAGACGAGAGAGAGAGAGAGAGAGAGGAGAGAGAGAGAATGTCATAATGTAACCCACTGTATAGTTGATTTATACTGATTTTAAAAATAGAAGGCTTCACGTCACATTCTTGCGCACCGTTGGTCCTCTGCCTTCAGAAAGCGCAAATTTGAAGTGAGTCTCGGAAGTTCCTTCAGTCAGTCTGGAACTGGCAGTCTAGGCCCTTCCTTTGCTTCAAAGCAAAAGATTAAGAAAGAGTGATGAGGTCATTGTTCTCTGATTGTCTGCAAATTCAAGGTGAGTGTGGAACATCGGCACGCACCTCCGTCCTTCCTCGCAGATGAAGCCTTGCTCTTCACAGTAGATGGGCCTCATCTTGTTAGTGCTGCAGCCTCAGGTTATATTACATGCAGAAGTTCCGGTCACCGGTTTGTCAGGAGGGTTCTTGCTGCATTTCCTCCTGGGACCACATATTTCAGTTTGCTGAGGTTCAGAGACTTGTACACCTGCACTGAAGGGGGTCTTGGTGATCTGATCCTTAACAGGCATACTGTTTTCAGTCTGGTCTGATAACACCACCTGCTACCTGCCGCCTGATCCTCCAAGCCTGTAGTCTGGCAGAGGTGCCCGTCAAGGGGTACTACAACATAGGAGACCCCCAGCATGCCTGCTGCTGCTGCCACCATACACACGTCTTGTCACATCACCACCTGTGTGTTCTTGAGAGGATTCCTGCCCTTTGGCCATGGAGCAGCTCTGCAGCGGGTTGGCCAGGCCAGGCCTCCCAGCACCTCCAGTTGCACCTACTCCAACCCAAGAACTAGTTCTGCCCTCTGTATATCCCTGTTCCAGCAATGGTGGCTCCAGTGCCAGCCACAGACCATGCTACCTCCCTCCCAGACACCAAAGCCTTCCCATGACCACTAGAAAGAACACTGCCCATCAGGGAAAGGATGCCAGATCCCCTGACTTTATTTTTGTAATACTGGAGATTGAATCTAGGACTTCATGTGTGTTAAGCAAGTGCTATATTGCTAGGCTATATGCCCAGCAGAAAGCATGTGTTGTTTTGGGCGCCCCGTGCTGAGTACTATGCTGAATATCTTCACGTACACACAGTAGCCCTCTGAGGAAAACACTTGCCTGTTGATTCCACTGCGTATCTAGGAAGGTTGGGCCAATTGAAGCATCGCGTGGTCCCTTGGATGAAAGGACACAAAGGAACCAGCTCCCTGTTGGTAAAGGGCTTGGTCCTGTGGGAGACTGAAAAAAATGGAATGTTCTGTGCTTTGCCTCAGTTTAGAAATGATGTGGGAGTAGTGGTTATATGAAGGTGCACAATCTTGAATGGAAAAGAAGTTGAAGCCATGTAGGTCTCCCAGCTTATCCTGCCAACAAGAAGAGGGATGCTGCTCCACCTCGCTTACCCAGTGTCCACTACCTTTATCTACTCTTGCATGGTAGACCCCACTTCCCACATCGAATTGTGTGTGCACACGTGTGTGTGTGTGTGTGTGTGTGCGCGCGCATATGTGTAGTCATGCTTGTGGAGGCCAGAAGTCAAGTCCAGGTACTGCTCCTCAGCAGCCGTCCACCTTGCTCTTTGAGACAGGATCTCTCTCTGGTCTGAAACATGCCAAGTAGACTAGGCTGGCCAGCCATTGAGCCCCGTGGATCTTTCTGTGCCTCACCAGTGCTGGGATTTCAGCATGTACCACCAAAAAGCATAGCAGGCAGTTCACTGACTGAGCTGTCCTCCCAGGCTCTCCCCTGCATTGAATTCTCACCATCTTCACCATGGTACCGTGGTGCTCTAGGGCTTCTCATTCACACTTTGTCATTAACCTGCAGCAGTGAATACCGTTCAGAATCAGTTCAGACACATTATCCGTTCCCAGTGTCTACATGATTGACCTACGTACCTGCCATAGGTGTGTTTCCACATTCAAAATCAGTTCTGCAGTTGGGAAGATAGTTTAGTCGATGAAGGACCTCAGTTTGAGCCTTAGAGCTCCCTTAAAGAGTCAAGCAAGCTGGTGCACACCTTTAATCTCAGCACTCAGGAAGCACAGCAGGCCGATCTCTGTGAGCTTGAAGCTAACTGGGCCACATAGTTCCAGGCCAGCCAGGGCTACATTTGAGACCCTGTCTCTCAATTTTTTTTTTTTTAATTTAAGAAATCAGGAAAGGTGGTGTGTGCCTATAACCCCAGCACTGGGGAGACTGAGACGCAGAGCCCTGGGGCTTGCTGCAGCCAGCCCAGCATGCTTGGTGAGTTCCAGGCCAGTGAGAGACCCTGTCTAAGAAATACAGAGGAAGAGTGAGGTGGGCGGCCCCAAGGAGCAACGCCTGAGGTCGTGCTCTGGCCTTCACATGCACGTGTGTATACACACGTATCAGTGCTTGAGCCAGGTGTGATCATACACGCCAGGTGGGAGCAGGAAGATCTGGAGTTTGAGGTCAGCCTGGACCACAAGACCTTGCCTCAGAAAAAAAGTCAGGCGTGGTGACACAGCCCTTTAATCCCAGCGCATGGGAGGCAGAGACAGGTGGATCTTTGTTGAGTTCAAGGCCTGGTCTACATAGGGAGTTCCAGGCCAGCTGGGGCTACAGGGAGACCCTGTCTCAAAAAGACTAAGAAAGGAAGGGAGGAAAAAAAGAAGGAAGGAAAATGATGTTATGCAGTTCCTTTCCTTTCCCTTCCCTGTAGGATCTGAGGACTCTGTGACTGGAGCATTTGGGGAGCATATACTAAAGAGGTTGTAGGCAGTGGATCAGCCAGGGAAGTCCTCACAGAGAAAGGAGAGTTCCTTACACCTCTGAAATGTTAGCCAATATATTTGGGGATTAAAATTAAACCCCATTTCATTGTTTTCTTCTGCTGGGTGACTATTTTTTCCAGTTTTTAATATAAAAAAAATAATGCTATGTTGAACATCTTTGATTCAGAGAATCCCACTTCCAAAATAATACAATAGAGAAAAACTGTAATATGCACAATAGGAATATTTTTGTGACTCTTGATACAAGCAGTGTTTAACAACATTACTTAAAATGGCACTTGTGGGGTGGCAAGATAGCAGAGTGGGTAAGGCGCTTGGCACCACACCAATAGCTGAAGCTCAGTCCCCAGGACCCACATGGTAGAAGGAGAGAACTGACTGCCACAAGTTGTATGCACTATGGTATATCACACACACACACACACACACACGCACGCACACACGCATACACAAATAAGTATTGAATTAAAATAGCACTCATGTTAGATAAGACTTAACAATACAGGTTTGTTAAAACAACAATGGCAGAATACCTAAGTTAACTTAGAGGAAGAAAAGTTTATTTTGGCTTACAGTTTCCATTGTGGCCATGCACGATTGCTTGTCCTCTGGGGTTGGGCCTACTGTGACACAGTGCGTCGTGGTATGAGCATGTGGCATAGTGGCCTGTTTGCTTCATGGTGGTTGGAAGCAAGGAGACAGGAAGAGAGGGAAAGGCCAGGGGTAGCGGCATGCCAGTAATCCCAGCGCCCATAGGAGTCTGGGCAGAAAGATCACAAGTTCCAGACCAGCCTGGGCTACATAAGCAGGCCCTATCTCAAAAAAGAAAAGGGGTCATAGAGTCCTGTAGTCCTCTTCAAACCCACAACCACCAGTGACCTAACTTCCTTCTGCCGAGTCCTCCTAAAACTTCCACCACCTCCCTACAACACCTTCAGCTACAGACCAAACCCTGCATGGACCTTTTCAGAATTTGCCAAACAATTGTGGGGATCTGAGTTCAAATCCCCATAACCCTCAAAAAGCCAGGTGCAATAGCATGCATCTACAATCCCAGTGCTATGAGAGATGGAGGCAGAGATGGGAGAGCCCCTAGCAGCTCGTGAGCCAGCTAGCCTGCTGTATGTGGCAGCAACAGAGACTTCTCAACCAAGGTGAAAGGCGAGGACCAACCCGAAGCTGTCCCCTGACCTCCACGTGCTAGCACTCACACAAAGGTGTGCATGTGTACCCATGGGTGCGCACACACACACACACACACACACACAAAACATTGTAAGGGTTTCTTGGCAACCCAGCTGCACTGTTCTGGAGTGTAAACTTCATAAAGATGACAGCGTCAGATCACAATGTCAAAAGGTTGGATACGCCTACATGCCTTTAAGTTTGATAGCAAAGAATTTTTGCTAACTAATGACATTTGCAACACTATCATTGATGGCTACAGATGAGGTTCATTTGTTGCAAGTATTTTTCTTCCTGAAAGGTGGACTTTAAAAGAATGCTTTGTTTTTGGTTTTTCTCCAGGTTAAAAAGGCCTTCTTTGCCTTGGTAGCAAACGGTGTCCGCGCAGCACCACTGTGGGAGAGTAAGAAGCAGAGCTTTGTAGGTGAGTGTGTGGCTGGGGAAGGCTGTCCCCGGGAAGGAGCCTCCCTTCCCTGCAGAGGACTTGAATATTACATTCATGCTGGTTTGGAATTCAGCCTGGTATAAACATGTACCAAATTAAAGAATGTTCTTGCTTTTACATACCAGGCAAGACAAGGCCGCTAGTGAATGTAACAAACCCTTATACCTTTTTTTTTTTTTTTTTTTTTTTTTGAGACAGGGTCTCCTTGTAGCCCCAGCTGTCCCAGAACTCACTATGTAGACCAGGCTGGCCTCGAACTCAGAAAGATCCACCACACGCCCGGCAATACAAACCCTTATAATCTTGCTGAAGTTTTTGTTTTTTCTTTTTGCTTTGTTTTGTTTTGTTTTTCATTTGTTTATTGCTTTTAATTTAGCACTTTCTTGGCACTCTGAAGGGGCTTTGGTGTCTTTATCATAATCCCCACAGATATGGTCAGATGAGCAGGCTGTGCTCACTGACAGCCAACTCAGCATGCTGTGTACTGGCTGTACTTGGTCTCTGCACGTCATCTTTGTAACGACAGCGAGGGTTGGAATGTGAATGTGTTCAGTGTCTGCTAAATCATTAGGCTGTCAGAAATGCTGTATAAGCTCTGGATGTGGTGGTACATGCCTGTAATCCCAGCACTTGAGAGGCAGAGGCAGGAGGATTGCAAGTTCCAGCCTGAGCAAGACCCTTTTACAAAAGCCAAGAGCTGGGACGTAGTTCAAAGCTGTGGGCTTGCTTAGGACATGCCAGGCCTGGGTATGAGAGGAAACAAAGGTGCATGAGTTAACTGTGTAAACTCCATCACTTGGAAGCTGCAAAGCCAGAGAAGCCCGCTGCACTGTCCCTCAGTATACAGAGCATTATTTTGAAATGGCCAATTTAGGTCTGTTCCCTTAGATTATAATTTTCTTAGAGAAAATGTTCATATCTTTTTCGTCTTGTAGTTCTGGTGTCCGGCACACAGTAGGCCCACAATGCTTAATGGTGACTCTTTATAAAGTTAAAATGTTGCTATCAGAGTGCTTCTCGGGAGAATAGTCCAGGCGCCCCAGAAGTGCCCCCTTCCTAACACTTAACTGGATTTCCCACATCTAGTGCTGAAGTATTTAAAATTATTTACATGAAGCTGATTATTTTTGATGTCAGTTGGTGAGTTTTCTCTCATCGGCTTGCCAGATACTCTAATTCCACACTTACAATCAAGTTTAGATTTGCATATCAAGTTTGGTATAGGAAATACATTGTTTTTTTAGTTATTTCTATTTTATGTGTATATTGCTTGCATGCATGTAGGTACACCCATGTCATGCAGTGCCCAAGGAGGTCAGAAGAGGATGTCGGACTCCCTGGATCTGGAGTTACAGATGGTTGTTAGCCACCATGTGGGTGTTGGGAATCGAACCTATGTCTTCTTCAAAAGCAGTCAGTGCTCTTAACTGCTGAGCCATCTCTCCAGCCCAAGAAATACATGATTTTTTTTAAAGCCACATCTTTTATTTTATTTATTTTTATGTGTATCTGTATCTTTGTGAGTATATGTGCAGGTGCCTACGAGGCCAGAAGAGGGTGTAGGATCCCCTTGAGTTGGAGTTACAGGCAGTTGTGCACTACCTGTCATGGGTACTGGGAACCGAACATTGGTCCGGAAAAGCAGGAAGTACTCTTAACTGTTGAGCCATCTCTCCAGCTCCCAGAAATACATGATTTTTAAAAATATGTATTAAACTATACTTGAGATCCTTAAGGTGTATTTTGCAAGTTTTATAGTAAATATTTCAAGGTTTACTTGCCAGTGGAAATTTTTCTTTACACATCCTTACTTGTTGTTTAGGGAGGTTATTTGTTTCCTTTTCCACTTTCATGAGAGTGGTATGGATGTGTGTGGATGCATATTTGCATGTGTGTGGCTGTATACATGCACATGTGTGCACACACATAATGGGGGCCTGAGGTTGATGTAGAGAATCATCCTTGAGCTCTCTTTCATCACACCCACTGAGGCAGGGTCTCAGTCAGACCCAGAGCTCACCCTGACAGCTTGCCTGTTTGCTCTTGGGATCATGTCTCTGTCTCCACATTCCAAGGCTGAAATTACAGGTGGGCCACCACACCCACCTGGCATTTACCTGGGTTCCGGGGATCTGATCACCAATCCTCATGTGAACATGGCAGATACTTTAAGCGCTGATACAGCTCCCCAGCCCCTTATTTGTATTTGTAATGTGTGATTCTTTGTTCCAGGAATGCTCACGATTACAGATTTCATAAATATACTCCACAGATACTATAAATCACCTATGGTAAGTGCCACAGCCCTCACTGTGTTTTAGGAATCCAGGCTATACGAGTCTGGGTGTATGGGTGGGATGGGGTAGATTTTCCAAATCTGTAGAAATTCTGAGGAAGTTGAGTGGAAAACTTCCAAAGCAATTAAACAGAGACCTCTGCCCTAAGTCATTTATGTGAAGCTTAAAGTGGATATCCAGCTGGGTGTGGTGGCGCACACCTTTAATCCCAGCACTGGGAGGCAGAGGCAGGTGGATCTCAGTGAGTTCAAGGCCAGCCTGGTCTACATAGTGAGTTCCAGGACAGCTGGGGCTATAGGGAGACCTGTCTCAAAAAGACCAAAAAAAAAAAAAAAAAAAAAAAAAAAAAAAAAGTATCCTGAGAAGAAGCCAAAAGGAAATAGCTGCTTTGTTCAGCTTGCAGAATTCCACGTTCTGACGTATTTCCCTGACGTGCTGCCAGTTCATTAAGTGCTCTCCAGCAGCAGGATGGGTGTGTGCCAGTGCTGGATCTGCAGGGCAGGAAGGGAGGAGCCTGCCCCCACCACCTGTCTCTGTGGTTGGCCCAGCAGGGGCCTCACTCTGGAGATAAAGTGACCACAGGCCTTTATTCTCACAGGCCTGGTGGTCTGAGTAAAATTTGATACAGACACCCACCACCCATCGGGGGAGGGGGTTATTTTTTTGTTTGTTTATTTTCAGTGCTGGAGATAGAACCCAGGGCTTTGAGCTTGCCAGATAGCACTCTCCCACTGCGCTGTACCCCCACCCCTCCCTCAGGCTTCTATAACAACTACATAAGCTCAGTGGTTTTAAAGGGAAGAGGGCGTGCAAGTCGAAACTGAAGGAATAAGACTTCTGGCTGGCACTGGTGGCAGAAGCTCTGGCATCTGCTCTGAGGGAAACTGTCCTGTATCAGGCACCGCGTGGTTTAATTCTGTTTGCTTGTCGTGGTGGGGAGGGCAGAGTCGCATACTTTATTCAACTACACAGAGTAGCTAAAAGGTAGGCGCTAATCCAGTTATTACTGTTTTTAAGGTAATGGCCAGCTGTCCAGTCCAGTGTGTCATTTAACAGAGGTGTGTGTTCTAAGAAGCAGGCCCTCAGTTCATCTCATCGTATGAACACAGCAAGGTGTTCTTACACAAACTGAGATGATCACAGCATTGATGGGCTCTGGAATCTTGGGACACAGTCCTACTTGGAATCCATCGTTAGCTTAAAATGTCCTTAAGTGGCACATGACTGTAATTCCTACATAAAATAAGAAAATGAGTTTATTCATAAGATAGAGTCTTGAAAGGTTTTCATATATAGGTCATGAAGGGATCCTGGGGGGAGGAAGAGGTCTTAAGAGGTGGGAGGAGGGACAAGAAGACTTGTGTGTAGTCTGAAAGGAGGAGGAGGGACTGTTTGGAGGAAGGAAGGGGGAAAAGGGGAGCAGGAAGGGGGGAGGAAGGGCAAATCAAAATGAAGTGCAAAAATATATATATGGGGCTGGAGAGATGGTTCAGCAGTTAAGAACACTGGCTGATCTTGCAGAAGACCTGGGTTCGAATCCCAGCATCCACATGGCAGCTAACCACTGTCCGTAACTCCAGTCCCAGGGGATCTGACAGCCTCTTCTGTCCTCCGCAGGCATTGCACAACACGGGTGCACTTACTACAAGCAGACAATACACACATACACATAAAATAAAAAAACAATAACTAAAATATTTTAAAATATATATGTGTGAAAATTTTAATGCTGCAGTGAAAATAATTACTTTGTGTGCTAACTTTAAATTTTTAATTGAAAAAACAAAGAAGGGTGTCTTACCGCAAATACTATATTATGCCTGTGATAAAGAACTTCAGGCACTGTACAGCAAATATTTGCAGCCATTTATTCAACCAAACATTGAAAGAGTCAATTATATCTAAATACATAAACATCCAAAAATTGTTTCTTACTGCTTGAAGATACATCCCTTCTCCATAATTTTTCTCCTTTTCTAATTATAGAAAAATATTAGTATAAAGCTGTTTTCCTTTTCTAAGCAACTTATTTGTTCCCGCATTGTACTCGCCAGCACTTGTGATGGGAATTTTTATTTGCAGGTACAGATTTATGAATTAGAGGAACATAAGATTGAAACGTGGAGAGGTAAGCCATTGAGTGTTTAATACGTTTCACCTCATACTTAGTGTAAAAGCAGGTTTTAATATCATTTTCTGTGCCTAATTGTAACATGTTAAGGCATTGTTTATTTCTGTCTTCAGTTTGAGGGTCTTCTGCACTAGCTATACTCAGGGCCCGTTCTGTGACAGATGTGTTTACAGTGGCCACACATGTGCAGCCTTACACTAGGCCTGGAGGTGTAAAGACAAGTGAGCTGGCCACCAAGTACTACCCTCAGATACCTGCTCCTTACAGCCTGCCCTAGGGGCAGATGGCAGGAGTCTTCTCTGATTTAAGCTGAATCATTCCTTTATAAATACAGAAAAACCCTTTAATCCCAGCCCTCAAGAGGCAGAGGCAGGCAAATCTCTGTGAGATCGAGGCCAGTCTGGTATACATAATGACTTCCAGGCAGGCTGGGACTAGGGAGACACTGTCAAGAAAAAAAAAAAAAAAAAAAAAAACACAGCAAAACTGAAACAAGTAAAAGTTGAACTGGATAGTTTAGATCAAATAACACAAGAAAACAGCTTCAAGAACTCTTGGGCTAGGGAGCTAGCTCATTGGTAAAGTGCTCGTTGCACAAGCATGAAGATCTGAGTTCAATCCCCAGAACCTGCATAAAGAAATCATCCCAGTGCCAGAGAGGTGGATGCAGACACATCCCTGGGGCTCCCTGGTCAGCCAGCCTAGCTGGATTGGCACGCCCCAAGCCAGTGAGAGACCCTGCCTCAAAAAACAAGGTGGAAGGCTTCTAAGGTACAGCATCTGAGGTGGCATTTCAACCTCTACACACAGGTGTACATGCCCACCAACACACAAACGTGCATGCACACGTGAAAGAACTCTGTTTGCCATGGTGAAATTCACCCTTTGGAATTATGCTGTTCTTTCCTGCAGTGGGGCCAGTTTTTGCTCTCTTGTTCCATGATGAAGTCACTATCTCAGACTCATCAGTGGCTGGTGAGCAGGGCAGGGCAGAGCATGGGCCAGGGGTCAAGGACCCAGACTGATCGAAGCACAAGTGCCCTGACCCTCGTAGGAATGGAAGACCCACACAAAGGAGAGTTTCCCACTGGATATTGAAGAGTCTGGCTTCACTCTTACCTGTTGTGCCTTCGCAACTGGCTGAGAAATTCGAGTTCTCCAACCCTCTGCAGGCCCTTCTAATTCCATGTGATTTAGAGCTTTTTGTCGGGGATGTTCTTGATGGACTGGCAGGCTAAATGAATTAAGTCAGCATGGCATCCAGATGACTTGTCGGTGATGGGATTAACACTGAGGCAGGCACTTTTCAAATTCTACTGTTCAAGTTCCGCTGACCAGGTTACATATGTTTATACTTAACGTACATGGCTTTTGGTAGTAGTGAAAATTCCAGGATATTATCAGATGCCTTCTGTGTACGGACCTCAATAAGGCAAATTAATTATTACAGTTGATTTCTTTACAAAGAAAGTTCACATATGCTGGCAAGATTCCCAGCATGCCCTAGGTTTTTGAGCATCAGTTTCGTAAAATAAAACGAGACCATTTAAAGAACAAGGTTGAGGGCCGGGTATGGTGGCGCACACCTTTAATCCCAGCACTCGGAAGGCAGAGAGAGGCAGGTGGATCTCTGAGTTCAGGGCCAGCCTGGTCTACATAGTCAGTTCCCAGAGAGCTGGGCCTACAGGGAGACCCTGTCTCAGAAAGATCAGAAAAAAAAAAAAGAGAACAAAGTTGGTTAGACGTGCTTTGATCTCACAGCTTATGAAAATGAGTTCTAAAAGATTTCATAAATGCTTCATTTCCTACTAGTAATTTTAACTTGGTAGAATCTGGTCCACTGCTCTTCCATCAGATTCCCCCCCCCCCAATGTTTCAAGCATCTATTGAAATATTTTTCCTATATTAATTTTTCTTCAAAGACAATGTCCTGAAAATAGGGTTCCTTAAAATATCCATAACTGTAACTAAACAGTAGTTTGCAGTAAATTAAATTTCTTTCTTTTGACTTGGATTTTTCTTCTGGTTATGTCCTGTAAACTGAATGATGTTTGAATATAAACTAATAACTGAAAACAGCAAATCTGTAACTAACTATATGTTTTCTTTCATAAATACAGAGCTGTATTTACAAGAAACCTTTAAGCCTTTAGTGAATATCTCTCCAGATGCAAGGTAAACTTGTAGGTTCCTTTTCCCCCTTTGAAAGCATTCTTCAGAACTTAATGTGTTTTACTGCCAGGATAAACAGAAGGCAGGGATGTGCCCTGATCTAGATAGCGCCAGTCTCTTTAATCCAAATAGTATATCAGATGTTGAGAGTCACTGAGAAATCACAGTAAAGCTAGGCACGGTGGCACATGCCTGGGATCACAGCACTTAGAGGGGTCTGAGGCAAGAGGATTGCAAGTTTGAGGCCAATCTGGGCTGCATGGCAAGCTCAAGACTTAGCCTGGGCAACTTAGCAAGACCTTAGACAGGGAGGGAAGGGGAAGGAGAAAGGGAGGTGGGGGTAAATGGGAAAGGAGAACAGCCCCTGTGGGTCCAAATAATTGCTAATGGAGTAAGTAGATGGCCATCCTGAGCAGTTTTGAACATCCAGATCCCCCATGGCAGAATGAGTAGAGGATCCTGTTAAAGTCACCAATCTCAGGGCTTTACTCCTGAGAGGCTGGATTCTGAGGGCAGTGGCGAGACCATCCCTCAGCGCTTTCACTCCAGGCCAGAGCCATCCTAGAAGGCATGGAGCAGGAAGGAAGGGTTCAGTAGACTGGGAGCAGCTCAGTTGTGGAACAGATGGCTTGGCAAGTGCTTGGGCTCAGCCTCTGGTGCTCAGAACAAGACAAAAAAGAACAGAGCAGGAGACGAAGCTCAGGAGCACTGGAGATAAAGAGAGAGCCCTTGTTTTTATTACCTGTTCCCAGATTCTAGCAGGAAGGTACACCCAACAAGCTTCATGGTGCCAGTGACCAGGGGGTGGTGAAGACACAGGTGTAGCTCCCCCAGGTGGGCAGGCAGGCACCGTGGAGCCTGGCACCCGGCCTCTGTGCTAAGGTCCCTGACCTGCTGACTTTGCTGAGGGCTCAGGTTTTGTTCTCTTTCATACAAAAATCACTGAACTGAACATACTCCAGAAATCCTGAAGTTGCTGTTCCCCTCTTCCATTCGAGATACAGCAACAGATGGTGCAGAACTCAAAAGTGGGCTGAGCGCTCCCACTTAAAACTTCGCCACAGCTGTTTTAAACTGATGAACGTCTTATTATAGTGACATAAAAACAGTGGAATGTTGTAAAGCAGGGGTGGTCTAGAGTATTCTGACTTTTCTTGAAAGCCTCCTAACGACTCTAATGGCTTTTCCTGCAGTCTCTTCGATGCTGTGTACTCGTTGATCAAAAATAAAATCCACAGATTGCCAGTTATTGACCCCATCAGTGGGAATGCACTTTATATACTAACCCACAAAAGAATCCTCAAGTTCCTCCAGCTTTTTGTAAGTACTTCCTAAAGACTTAGTTGCATTTACAGTCATTGACTTCAAGGAAATTGACTCCTGTTACTCTCCAAAGACGCCATTAGTTTCCAGGCTTCTGTTTGCAACTTTCAGTTTCTCGACTTACTCCTGTGTGTGTTTAACTTCTCAAAGTTGATTCCAGTTCAGAAGCTGTCACCTCATAGTAAAAGTATCGAAATAATAAAAACAGGTGGAATTTTCCTAAACACAGTTTGTATCGCTTCTTTCCCAAAAAGAGCTAAAGCAGTATTTGTTCGGCAGAGAGCTAGCGTGCAGGGCAGCCAGAAGTCCCTTCCTGGTGTGTTTGTCGAGGTTTTAGAAACATCAGCAAGAGGCACCAGCCTCAGGTATCTCACTACAGGCTGCAGCAATCAGAAAATCCCAAGACAAACAAAATCTTAACAAAAGATACACCGTGTTGGTCCGAGTCAGGCTTTTGTGGTTTGTGGGTTTCCTCGCCTTCTTCTGAAATGAGCCAGCCTCGCAACTGGCCCAAACCTAGAGCCTCTGGGATGAGCAGTGTTAGAAGAAGCTCTGAAGGAACAGGAGTGAGCCGGGGGCTTTCCTGCTTCCCCTCCATCACCTGCACTACGTATGGATCAAGGTCGTCAGTCAGTAGAACAGTTGGTAGTTCAGCAGCAGGGGCATTTGACGTCATTTTCCAAAGGAGGTAGTGGACACTACTGCTTCCAAGTGGCTTTCCCAGGCTCCAGTCCACAGCTTCCTGTCAGGAACTAACGAGGCTTGCCAGTGGACCAAGAGGGCCTGAGCTGCTCTCCAGGATGCAGCTTGTGAAGCCAATTGCTTACAGAGGTATAGATGATTTAGTAATTGACACCTGCCTTGGTGATCAAACCAGTCACATGGTTTAATAGAGCCAAGTAGATAAATTGCTTTTGTCATTAAATAAATGCCAAAAAAACAGATGTTTAACAGACAACCTAGGAAGGTAGAAGGGATGTGTCTGTGTTCATCAGTCTATAGTCAGGGAGTGTGGCCGCCTCATTCATGAGGCTTTATGAGGACAGAGGGGCAGGCTGTGGCTCAGGTACCCTTTAGAGCCCGTCTGTCAACAGCTGATCACTAGTGTCCTGAGAGCTTTGCACAAACTGTCGTCCATATTGGAGTCCTGTCAAGTTGGTGGTGTTTTAACTCTGGTAAGTGACTGATACTGCTGATCTCATCTGTTTTAAAAAGAAAAAAAGGAAGAGGGTTGCTTTTTATTTGGACCAGCATGGTAATTAGAATCTCGCTACTAGAATGTTCAGCAGTAGGTTCTCAGATAAAAATAGAGATTTTAAATAAAGAAACAGCAGGGCCTGGTTTTTACTATATTAACTTGATTGTTCTAGACAAGGTAGTAATACCCTCCAGACATTTGGAAATTAGCCTCGGTGTAGAGTCTAAAATGGACCGTCCTATGCTGAGATGGACTAGGTATCCTAATAGGTCTTTTTTTTTTTTTTTTCTCGAAATTTCTAGGGGTCTCATCATTTGAATATTGATGAACTCTTTGACTTGAACATTTTGTTTCTTCTAATTGTTCATCTTTTCCTGATAATTATAAGGCTGGAGGATGGAGCCAGCCATGCCCTTTATAAAGGGTGGAGCTTTGAACCCATAGACCTTATTTTGTTGTAGTCCAACCGGATCCTAGACTTGCTTCTGACCTATCTGTCTTCCTTTAAAGAACAGCCACAAAAAGTTGGTTTTTGCCTGTTCTGTGAACTCTGTTGGGCTGGCTTGTTCTTTGTTCTTGGTAGACAGACACTGGAGGCATCCAGGGAGAGTGCAGGCTGTGGAAGTAGGATGGATCCAGGAGCAGCTTAGCAATAGCCAGTCAGAAACTAAAATCTGGAAACATAGGGCTTACTACCAAAGCAGGTCCCAGAGCTGAACATAAATAACCAAGATCAAGGGTTCGATGGGTACTAGTTTTCAGGTCTTGACTTCCCGTCTTCTGCCCACTCTTGGTGAGTGAGGAGGAGGGAAAACATAAATGCTTTGAATGGTCTTTTGAAGAAAGATACGTGTAGACCTATTGACTAGCTTGAAAGAGAGACAGTTCTTATAAGTAGCTTTTCACAGCCATTGAGTCATCCAAGCCGACTGTTAGGAAAGACTGACTTTCTTTGGTTGAACATAGTTTTTCATTCAGATCTAGATACTTGAGCGCTGAGAGAGTATGTGAGGGTTCTAGAACATTCTCGTTTCCCTCCTTGTCAGATGTCTGATATGCCAAAGCCTGCCTTCATGAAGCAGAACCTGGATGAGCTTGGAATAGGAACGTACCACAACATTGCCTTCATTCACCCGGACACACCCATCATCAAAGCCTTGAACATCTTCGTGGAGAGGCGAATATCAGCTCTGCCTGTGGTGGATGAGTCAGGTGTGTGGGGCCCTGGAGACACATAGCCACCCTGCTCCTGGGGGCAGAACGACAGGGAAGTGAGCAGGCAGGAGACAAATGAACACTGGGATAGAGGTGGCATAGTCATTGTTCAGGAAAATAGAGGGGTTTTGTTTTTTGTTTTGGTCTTTTTGAGACAGGGTCTCCCTGTAGCCCCAGCTATCCTAGAACTCATTATGTAGACCAGGCTGGCCTTGAACTCACAGAGATCCGCCTGCCTCTGCCTCCCGAGTGCTGGGATTAAAGGCATGCGCCACCATGCCCGGCTGGGAAAATAGTTTTAAACTGGTTTATTTTCTTGTTTCCATTAAGATACAATTTCATGTCTGTTTTTAAAGAGGCACGTTTATTGTATTCATTACTGTTTAATCCATAGTAATTATCTAGATAAGACTGATTTTTAATGAGTTACTCTTTTGATTCCTAAAATGGTTTTCTAACATATATTTTCATTTTTTAGGAAAGGTTGTAGATATTTATTCCAAGTTTGATGTAATTGTAAGTATGTTTTCATTTCTTTAACCCGTCATTTAGAATGCATTTAAAAATCTATTTGTTCAATCTCTTTTTATGGTTTTCCTTTGTTCTTTAATGTGATAATTCCTAACTTTTTTAGTGTGAAAGTCTTAGAGAGTTTCAGTTTTCTAATGGGACCAGCCTGGCCTTGAACGCATAGAGATCAGCCTACCTCTGCCTCCGAGTGCTGGGATTAGAATGTGCACCACCACACTAATCTAGCATTCATTGGTTTACTGATGAATTACGTGTTAGTATTTGCTAGTACTTTATAATTCTTTGTCTTTTTAATAGGCATATACTGTATCCAACTCTACAACATGTGTGCCTTAGATGGTCCTGTTTTTTTGTGGGGTCATGATGCCTGTGGGATGTGCTTGGTGCACACGAGTTTGTGGTCCCTTGTCAAGGACGTCCTTGCCAGTTGGCAGTTGCTATTCTCAAGAAGACAGCAAATAGATTAGGAGAATTGTGTATTAGAGTCACTTGAGCGTCCATTAGCAAACCTTTGACATCCGTTAGGTTCCTTGCTGGTGCTGCAGCTTTACCATCAATGTTTTCTTTCTCATTGATTTTAAGTATAATTTCAGAGTTTTGTACTCTAAGAAAAATAAACAGCCCAAACGTATACAGTGTATTTGGCTACAGTATTGACCCGCCATTAAATATGCTTTTGCAGCTTTCAGTGCCTCCTGTTCTGTAAAACATAATCGATACCAAAAATCTGCTCCTTAGAATCTTAGGTGAGTGGGACCCACTAAAATTGATGGGGATCCTGAGAGACTCCGTGGGCCCCTGGGCTTCTCAGCTCGCATTTTCCCCCACAACTTCTTGAGCCTGATGGGCCCCATGCTGTCCTACTAGAATCCACATACTCTGAGAGCTTACTCTCCGAGCAGGCTCCCTACCTCAGATGGGTCTCACCCTTTACAGATGTTAGTCCATTTCTCAAGAGATGTTTTCCTGTGCATAGTGTAGAACCTTAGAGGATAAGAATTGGCCGGTGGTGGGGGTGTCTGACAGCACTTGTCAAAATTTAACTGTGCTCAGTTTAACTATGACTCAGCAGGCAAGAACACTTTATACTCATCATGAGGATCAGAGTTCAGATCCCAACACCCATGTTAGGCGGCTCACAAACACCTGTAACTCCAGCTTCAAAGATCTGACACCCTCTTCTGGCCGCCACAGAGATATACACACATAAATAAAATAACATTTTTTAAATTTAAAAAATGTATTATAGCCAGGTGTGGTGGTGCACGCCTTTAATCCCAGCTCTCAGGAGACAGAGGCAGGCAGATCCTTGTGTGTTCAAGGCCAGCCTGGTCTATATAGTGAGTTCAGGTCAGCTGAGACTACAGGGAGACCCTGTCTCAAAAAGACAAAAAAAAAAAAATGTATTAAGCAGGAAGCCAGGTGTGGTGGCGTGTACCTTTTGTCCCAGCACTTGGGAGGCAGAGGCAGGTGGATCTCTGTGAGTTCAAGGCCAGCCTGGTCTACATAGCGAGTTCCAGGCCAGCTGGGGTTACAGGGAGACCCTATATAATATATATATAATTTAATGACATCTTCCCAAGCCTGGTGACACAGTATAGCGTCACCTACTCATCAGGAGCCTAAGGAAGGTGGACTGCAAGTTCAAGACCTGTCTGGAGTAAATTCAAGGCTAGCCTTGAGTAACCTAGGGAGACCCTGTCTCCAATTTTGGGGGGGATAAAAGACTGTGCTGTAGCTCGGTGGTAGAGCACTTGTCTAGCATTCATAAGGCCCTGGGTTCAATTCCCAGCACCACCACAACAAAAACTTAGCATTTCTCTATAATTAAGGTTTACCTTGTAATGTGATGTCCTCAGTTCTGACTGATCAGACTCTGATATGCAGTGACAGTGTGGCCAGCATGGTACCAGCCAGAAAGAGAACTCTGGGTACCAAATTCCACACTAAAGCTTTTAAAAATCGATTTGCCTTAAACTGGGGTATTAGTATGAAAGGATGGATTTTTTCTGTGCCTGTGTTACAGAATCTTGCTGCTGAGAAAACATACAATAACCTAGACATCACGGTGACCCAGGCCCTACAGCACCGCTCACAGTATTTCGAAGGTGTCGTGAAGTGCAGTAAGCTGGAAACCCTGGAGACCATCGTGGACAGGATAGTCAGAGCCGAGGTGAGAGATGACCCGGAGCACGTTGTTCCCCAGTGACTGGCTCGGGAGGTTGTCACAGAAACACTCTTGTGAGGCAGACCACAGGTTCTGTGGGTTAGGGTTCATGACCATTCCAAAACCCTGCTTGGGGCTTGGCACACAGAAGCGATTTAAAAGGCTTGCTGCTGGGTTGAGTTGAATTTGATGGCTGTATATGAATGGAAAATACTGGCAAGATAACTTCTAGTATAAAGGGTGTAGACTTGAGTGAACAAAAGTTGCCCCAGGAGGTTTTTACCAATCCATCTTTATCAGAGTGTCTGTGAATTCCAAGTGAAAGAAAAGGGGGGGCTAGAGAGATGGCTTAGCGGTTAAGAGCACTGGCTGTTCTTGCAGAGGACCTGGATTTGAATCCCAGCACCCACATGGCAGCTAACCCCTGTCCCTAACTCCAGTTTCCGGGGATCTGACAGCCTCTTCTGTCCTCCGCAGGCATTGCACAACACAGGCGCACTTCCATACATGCAGGCCTAACACTCATACACATAAAATAAAAAGATTAATTTGGGGGGCTGGAGAGATGGCTCAGAGGTTAAGAGCACTGACTGCTCTTAACAGAGGACTGGGGTTCGATTCCCAGCACCCACATGGCAGCTACAAACCGTCCTTAACTCCAGTTCCAGGGGAACCGAAGCCCTCTTCTGACCTCTGTGGCATTGCACGACTCGGGCACACTCACATGCATGCAAGCAGTACACTCGTACACATAAAAATAAAAATAATAAATGAAATGTTTTTAAATAAAAAGATTAATTTAGAAATTCAAAGTAAAAAAGTGTTATTCTAACAGTGAATAAGATAAATGGGAATTTCTAATTTTATTTTTAAATTTTATTATTTTTGTGTCTGTGTATATATGAATGTGTGCACACATGCACATGTGTAAAGATCAAACCTCTCTATCTTTACATGAGCCCTAGGGATTGAACTCAGGTCATCAGTGTTGTGTGACAAGCACCTTACCCTCTGAGCCATCTCTCTAGCCCCATACAAAATTTTTTTTAAAATTTGTCTCTCCTCTCTCTCTCTCTCTCTCTCTCTCTCTGTCTCTCTCTGTCTCTCTCTCTCTCTCTCTCTCTCTCTCTCTCTCTCTCTCGAACTAGTTAACTGTCCAGTTGAGCATTGCACTCCCCCCAATCCCTGGACTTTCCTGTTTGTAGGATTTTCATGTGAACTTTGCACATCCCCCCAGGAAGGAGGAAAGCAGTCACTGTGCAGCTTGTGAAAGTCTGTGGACACAGTCCTTTCTTCTCAGGCAGGACTAGGAGTGGCACCGTGTGTGCCACTGTCCCTACCCATGTACAGAAGGTTGTTTTTTACTTTGTTCTGGTTTTTTACATTTATTTCTGTATATAAGTTGGTGCAGGTGTGGAGCTCAGAGGACAACTTAGGTTCTTTTTACACCGTGTGGGTTCCCAGGATCAAACTCAGGTTGTTGGGCAAGAATCCCTATCCACTAAACGATCCCTCTGGCTCTCTGGTGTCATTCATAAGGACTGAAGGATGCAGCTCTCTTCCCTTAAGCAGAGTGAGCTCATCATGACAAGTCAGTTTTGATGATACAAAGGGCAGACCAGGAGTGAGGTGCCGGATTCATTTTTAGAGCGCTCACAGACATCCATAATTTGCATTGTGAAAGTTACAGGTGAAGTCACGGTTGTTGTGGCAGGAGCCGTCACTGTGGGAACTCCTCTGACCCTCCTGAGTGGTCTAGCCTCCACTGTGGGCATTGGGATTAGCTCTCTCCCCTCAGCTACCACAGCATCTACCTGGCTCTTCAGCACATCAGTGGGAACCTTCCCTATTTCTTCATTGCGCTATATCCACCCCACTTGTTTTCCAGAAGTTCTCAACTTAAGAATGCATACTAATGTTTAGAATTATGTCCCCTTGAAGATCACAAACAGGGACAGGTGAGACATCGCTCCCTCCCTGTGACCTCTGGATGATGATGGGATCTATTGTGACAGTTACAGATCATCCTGTAGCAGACTGTTAACATTGAAAGCCATTAGCAGTGTGTTGCATGAGAAAAAGCCCGTGGCAGTGTCCAGTAAGATTCTGGGAGTTGCCGTGCGTGTGTCTGTGTAGTGAAGAAGCGAGAAGGGCACAGCAGGACTAACGGCAGCCCTTGCTGGGTGTGGAGTTGATGCAGGCAGGGAACACGTGGAGAAAGAATGCCCACACTCTTCTGTGTTGTGGGGTTGGGCAGTAGAAGTCTGTAGTTTGAAAGCGGTTGTTGAAGGGAAAGTAAGGTTGTAAATTAGTCATTGTCTCAAGTTAGACACCTTGACTCCATCCTTTAGTAAGACCCTGTCCCAGAGGCTCTTCCCCAGGGCACAAACCTCAGTTTTAGCTGCACTGTAATGTTACTGGTATGCATGTTGCTTTCAGCCTGTCTGTGTGACAAGCGGCTGACTTTTAGGTTCCTCAGACAAGGAACATATGTGAGTTTAAACTTAGCAGTGGAAGACAAGGAAATATTTTGGGCAGTCATCACCATCTGCTAGGGTCAGGTGATTTCCCCCGATCCTGGATCCGTAAACCTTCATTTTGGGTTGGCAAGATGGCTTAAGTGGTAAAGGTGCTTGCTGCCAAGTCTGGTGATATGAGTTCAGTCCTTGGGACTCACAATTCACATAGTGGAAGGAAAGGACCAGCTCCTATAAGTCATCCTCTGACTTCCACACATGCACTGTGGCATGTGTACATGTGTACATACATGTATACACACACAGAAATAAAAAGTAAATTATCTTTCTAACTTATAACAGGTAGAGGTGCTATGTTTTATAACAGGATTATTGAGAGACCTGAAAGCTTTTTTAGAAAAACTTTATAATTTGTGTTGACTGACGTAAGATTACCAAAGTGACTCATTCTTTTTTACCCTAACACAAGTTATGACATGAAAAACAGCATAACACAGCATCCTTTAATACAAAATATAAGCAAAGAGTCCTCCTCTTAATCTTCTCCTGCTGTCCCATTTTGTGCGAGGAGCTGAGGCTGTTTGATGCCTCATGGATCTCCCAGGTAACCCTGGGCTAAAGTCGGTCAAAATAGCCTTGGAAATCAAGGTTATTTCCTCTCCTGCCTGTGAGGAAGGATTCTGTCACAGAGTATCTCAGAAACTCTCCATTCCTTTACCAAAGATTTTAGATAATGGTGGTGCATGCCTTTAATGCCAGCAGTTGGGAGTCAGAAGCAAGAGGATTTCTGTGAGATCGAGGCCAACCTGGTTTACAAGTGAGTTCCAGATCAGCTTGGGACTACAGGGAGACTCTCTCTCAAAACAAACTAAAAACTAGAGGTGAATACAATCTGTCTCACTTTATTATGGTTTATCCCCTTGATTAATTAGCACTAATACATGAACTTCATAGAGCAAAGTCACAGGAGGAGAGAAAAAGAGCAGCAGCTGCCACAGCCTTCCAGGTTTCTGTGCTGTGTAAAACGAGACACCTGATGGTTACAGGAAACCGAGGTGTAGAGCAATAAAAACCTGAGGCTGTGGCTGAGGAGATGGATCCGTTGGTAAAATTCTTGCCGGACAAGCACAAGGACCTGAGTTTGACCCCCATCACCAGGTAGAAAGCCAGGTATGGCAGTGCCCATCTGTAATCCCAGTGCTGGAGAGGCAGAGACAGGAGGAGCCCTGGGGACTCACTGCCCAGCCGAAATGGCAATTTTCATTTTGGTAAGAGATTCTGTCGCAAAAAAACAAGGTAGAGAGATAATCTAGGAAAATACGGATGTCACCTCTGGCCTCCACCTGTACGCACAGGGGCAAGTGTACCCAGAGACACACACATATACACACATATACAACACACACAGATGCACACACACACATTAGTGAGTTAAAATGAGTAAATAGACTTTCGTTATCTTTGCAGGTCCATCGGCTGGTGGTAGTAAATGAAGCGGACAGCATTGTGGGTATTATCTCCCTGTCAGACATCCTACAAGCCCTGATCCTCACACCAGCAGGTAAACATGCTCATTTCCAGCCAAGACTGCGGGTCTCAAAGGGGTGGGAGGCAGGACAGGCCATGAGGTGTTAAAGTCCAGCTGTCCCACTCCTCCAGCACACACAGCAAGGCGTTCTGCATGCTGCTCTGTGACCCTTGGTTTTCTCTTCCATTTTGAAGTTGAGAGTGTCCTACTTGGGTGAGCAGAGTTTATAGAAAACACAGAAGAGGAGGAAGGGGGTGCAGACAGAAGGACCAGTCATGTGTAGGAAGAGGTGGCCTGGTTGAGGGTTTTATGTACTGAATCAGAAACATAAAATTAGAGTTGGGTTTTCAGACTGTTCCTGAAGTTGATGATAGTATTCGTAATGACAAACCGATGTGTAAGATTGCTCAGTACATTGTTTGTATTAATATTACAACACCCTAAAATTGAAAATGACCTCAACATCTTTCAGAAAGAGCAGATAGGGAAATTGCATGATACCCGTTACAGGTACATTACTATACAGCATTGAAAGTGAACAAGGCGGGTTTGGGGGAGGCTGGAGAGATGGTTCAGTGGTTAAGAGCACTGGCTGCTCTTGCAGAGAGCCCATATTCAGTTCCTAGCACCCACATGGCAGCTAACCACCATCTATAACTCCAGTTCCAGAGGATCTGATGCCCTCTCCTGGTCTCCACAGGCATTGCACAACATGGGTGCACTTACATACATACAGACAAAACACTCATACATGTAAAATAAAAAATTTTAAGGAAATCAACAGGGCTACATGGGCAGTGCAGGAATCTCATGAGCAAATTGAGCAAAGGAAGTTGTGCTGACCTATAGCATGTGATTATGTGTGGATCAATCTCTAAGCAGGCAAAGCCACATGTACCCCATGAAAATTAGAATACCCGCTGTCTAGGTAGACACATCCCCACAGGTAGGTAGTACTTTCAAGGAAGGTCCCCCCTTTTCATAACCAGCCCTGGACCTAGGCACAAGGTCACCTCAGCAGGGTTGGGCTGCTGGCTCTCATCTGTTGCCTTGTCCTTTAGACATCACAAACCCAGAGTAAACTTCCAAGTGATTCATCTCTGGCCTGGGGTGTCTCAAAGCATAAGCACGAGCAAGACTAGGAAGAAAGACTAGATGTCTGGGACTGGAGAGAGGTCTCAGCAGTTAGGAGCACATGCTATTCTTCCAGAGGACCCAGGTTCAATTCCCAGCATCCACAGCAGGCAGCCCACAACCACCTGTAATGTAACTCCCGCTCCAGGGCATCCAGTGCCCTCTCCTGGCCTCCACAGGCCACTGTACTGACATGTACAACCCCCTCAACACACACACGCATGCACACATGCACACACTTTTAAAATAAAAGTAGAATCTAAACACAAGATGACTTTAGATTTCTATCTAAACTTGGTATTTCAGAAGTCAATTATTCCTTCTCCTCCTATCCCTAGAGGTACAGTACATAAATCTCTTTCACAACTGGCATTTGGAATGTGTGTTACCATAGAAACCCTGTCATAAAGATGGAGTGGCTGGATTGGAATTCTTGCTAATAAGCTGTATAGAACAGTTTGTTGAGAAAAATGTCCTGTGGGGTTGGTTCGTTTGTTTTGAGACAGGATCTCACTGTATATCCCTGGGTTACTGGGAACTCAGTATATAGACCAGGCTGGCCTCTAACTCAAAGAGGTCCACCTGCCTCTGCCTCCTGAGTGCTAGGAATAAAGGTGTGGACTACCACACCCAGTTGTTCTATGTTTTTAACTGGATTACAGTCTCACATCTGGAATAGAGCTCCTGTGGGACTCAAAATGCTCACATCTCATGGACAACAGGCTAGTGTGCTTACCCACCAGGGGAGAATAACAGTGTATACAGCAACCGTGGGGCCCAAACTATTAGGCCAAGTCCGGTTTACCCCACCTATGCACTGGTGGGATGAAGGCAAGACACTCCGCCTCTTTAGGTCCACATCTTCATCTGTAGAATGAGCAGTTGACATGACCCGTCTCGCTCATGAGATGCCAGAAAAGGCATGTGGAACCCGTGGTGAGGCGCTCTGCCCACTGTGAGCAGCACTGCTGGGTGCCGAGATGGTAAGTAAGAGTCTTTCAAGAAGTGACAACTGACCCAAGTGAAAGGTCCCAGCTCATCCCCTTCCCCAGATAATGAGCACGGCCCACTATTATCAGGTCACCTATTCAACATATTTTCTCTTTTTCAAAGTTTTCAACAATAGTTCACTGCCGGACTTAGATTGTTCAAAAGAGCCTACATGACATCCACCTCCAACCAGTAAGCAACCTGATGGCACTAACTAATGATAAGCCCCTTAGTCTAATAGGTTGTTAATCTTTTTTCCAAAGTTAAGTGTGTAGCTTGACACAGGTAGTGCACACATGGAATCCTGGCCCTCTGGAGGCAGAGGCAGGAAGATTCAAGAGGCCAGGCTGAGCTACATAGCAAGATCCTATCTCCAGAAAAGAAAAACCAAAATCAGCCAGGCATGGTGGTACACACCTTTAATCCCAACACTCAGTAAGTGGAGGCAAGTGGATCTCTGTGAATTTGAGTTCAGTCTGGTCGACATTGTGAGATCCCCTGTAAAAAATAAAATTGGGAGCTGGAGAGGTGACTCAGCAGTTAAGAGCACTGGCTGCTCTTGCAGAGGACCCAGGTTCAATTCCCAGCACCCACATGGTGGCTAACAACCACATGTAACTCCAGTTCCAGGGGAATCTGACACCATCTTCTGACCTCCATGGGCATTGCATGACCCGGGTACACTTACATACGTGCAAGCAATACACTCATACACATAAAATAAAGACCAAAGCCAGATTGGATGGAAACTAAGAAATGGCCGTGCGAAGAGCAAGTCTCTGACCTTCGCCTTTGAGAAACCCTGCCGGACCTTTGTAGGTGTTGCCCACAGTTGTCCTTATATGTGTTATGATGCCTCTTCTTTTTGTAAGTATGACATCTGAAATACCATCACTAAAACATATTGCGTGTTTTTTACCTTTTTAGCAGTGGCATCTGACATTTAGAATGGCAAGTTGTGATAGGGATCAGAGCCAAAGTGAGGGTGGGAGCCGGTGAGGAGCTTGCAGCCACCCACTCCTCCCACCTCTCCCTGCTCCAAAGCCTCTGGACCATCCTTAGCTACCACCAGGCCTGCTGGGTAGAACCCACTGCCGCAGAGACCCGGCCATGACCAAGACCTGTGAAACTTGCTTTTTTCCATCTCCTGACAGGTGCCAAACAGAAGGAGACAGAGACCGAATGACCACCATGAATGTAGATGCCCTCGCAGGAGAACTTGAACAAAGTTTTTGGGGTCACGTTTGCCTCATGAACACTGGCTGCAGTTGAGAATCCGTGTATATCAGGATTTTGTGATGGGTATTTTTCCAGTGATGTAAGCATAGAAAAAGATTTTTATGTGCTTGAAGATTCAGGCTTATGTTCAAAGACTGTTTTCAGACCTCTGTCTGAAGGATTTTAAATGCTGTATGTCATTAAAGTGCACTGTGTCCTGAAATTATTCTTACTTTTCATTTCAAAGAATTCACTGGGATGGAACAGGTGACATAAGGTGAGTGCACGGCATGTTCAGATCACAGTGCCTTATGTCCAAATACAGCAATAGTCATCGCTGCTGCCCACCCCACCCCAAGAGCACACGCGGAGAGACACCGAGCTTGAATGTGGAAGTCTTCGAACCTTTCCCCCAAATCAGGTTATTTTCACGAGATGTGTTGAAAAGCTGTCCTTTGGATATAAGCGATCCCTTTACAACTTTGGATGACACATATGTTCTTGGTGGCTTGCTCCAAGCTGCTGTGTCCACAAGGCTGGCTTCACAGCAGCATTTTATTTATTTTTACTTAACATGCAGTTTTTTTACACAGAATCTTTGGTGAATGAGCTTCACCATATCCATGAATAAACTATTGGTTGTTCTCTTAAATGACAAATCTCTCATTAAGTTTGGATCTGGAAAGAATACAACTTCCAAAACAGCCACCATTGGGTTTTTAAGACATTTGTGAAAACAGGCCTCGGTTGGGGAACGAAGTGCCGGGAAGACTTCTGTTCTTTTTCTTGTGTATTGAAATGTAAACTCATGTTTGTGTGACCGCTGAAGTTTGTAAATTTTATTGTGGCACATAGTTTGTCATGCAGTTGAAGGGAAATATTTACCTGGTATAAGTGCTCCAAAGATGTAGGCACTGTGAGCGTGTGTATGTGTGTGCGTGTGTATATAAGCAGAGTTTGGAGTTTTGTTTTTTGGGGTTTTTTTCCAGATTGAAAATTAAAATAAATCCTATCTACCAGTTTGTTAAAGTTCTTTAAAATACCATATATTATTTGAGCCAATTAAGATTCCACCTCCAGTTTTCCACTTAAAAAAAAAAAGAATGTAAATTGTCATCTGCTTTTTACCCATCACCAGAAAAGAACTTTAAAAGATTTCATTTATAAGCTCCATTATTAAATAGGAACTTTTTTTTTTTTTGGTCTTTTTGAGACAGGGTCTCCCTGCAGCCCCAGCTGTCCTGGAACTAACTATATAGACCAGGCTGGCCTTGAACTCACAGAGATCCACCTGCCTCTGCCTCCCAAGTGCTGGGACTACAGGCATGCGCCACCACGCCCGGCTAGGAACATATTTTTAATTAAGAATTGCCTTGGGGCTGGAGAGATGGCTCAGCAGTTAAGGGCAACAACTGCTCTTGCAGAAGACCCAAGTTCAGTTCCCAGCACCCATATGGCAGCTAACAACCATTCATAACTCCAGTTCCAGAGGATCTCATGCCCTCTCTGGCCCCATCATTGCACACATGATAGTTTTACGTACATGTTTAAAAATTAAGACTTACCATACACGCTGGGAATGTTGCCACATGCCTGTAATTGACATGCTCAGGAAGTAGAAGCAAAGAAGGTGTTGTGTTCAAGTCCAGCCTGGGCTACATGGGAGACCCTCTCTCAGAATTGCCACACAGCTCTTTTGTTAAAGTGTTAATTTATTTCCTAGTTGACCAAATGCATAAAGATTACTCGCCTTGGAAACAATAGAGGGTTTCATTAATACTTAAAGGGACACACATCATCACAATAGTTCTGAAACTCAATCCTCTCATGTGCACACAGGCTACACATAAGTACATAGTTGATAAAGTGTGTGTGCTTTGGAGAACAGTTTGGACATCGCTTTTAAAGGTGTTAATGGTTCCCATTCCCATGAGGCTCAAGTGCTCGGTATTGCCCCAGCTATTCTCACTGTGTGGTACATCCCATCCTCTGCCCCCGCCCCTGAGTTTGGAGCAGTTTCTTCTCTAGATAGACAAGTAACAAATCTTTTTCCAGGGCTAAAAGAGATGGCTCAGCATTTAGGAGTCCATACTGCTCTTTTAGACCATTCAAGTTTGGTTCTGACACACCTGGTGACTCAGAGCTGCCTGTAACTACAGCTCCAAAGGACCCAACACCCTCTTCTGGCCTCTGAGGGCACCCATGCCCATACACTTACATAGACACACACATTTTTAAAAAAAAATTGTTTTTGAGACAGTGTCTCCCTGTAGCCCCAGCTGGCCTGGAATTCACTATGTAGACCAGGTTGGGTTCAGTCTCAGAAAGATCTGCCTTCCTCTGCCTCCCAAGTGCTGGGATTAAAGGCATGGACCACCACACCGGACTTAATCCTTTCTTAAGAAAGTCTTTGATGACCATTTCCAGGAAAGGGTTCACAACGAAGATTTGGGTATAGGAAAAATATTCAGGGAATGAAGGAAAGTGACCCAAAGAGCAACGTCTTGTGACAGGCATGGAAGACAGCTTGTAGGCAGGCAGCCCCTCACCGGAAGCCCCTGCTGGACCAGTCCCACTGACCCAGGGCAGGCTGTAAGCTGTGCAAGGCAGTGTCTCCACAAGAGATCAAGGAGTGTGCCAGGAACACTGTTACCCTTCCAAGAGTGCAAGACATTTGTTCTGTTTCCCATTCTATCCAAAATTTTTAAGTGATAAAATTTATTACATCTTGAAAGTTACAGGGACAGTTCTAAAGCAGTGCTTCCTAGCCAGAGGGACATCTGGCAGTGTGGAAATATTTTTCATTGTCACACTGTGGGGGGGGGCAGTGGCTTCTGATGTCTAGTTAGTGGAGGCCAGAGGTCTTAAGTGACACCCTGAGGCACTGCAATACCCCTATGGCAGTAGTCCAGCCTGAGGTAGGAGTGCTGGGGCTACAAACCCTTAACAGCTGCTCTTTGGGGTGTTTTGGTTCCACTTAATATTCTGTAAAAAATTCCTACCTGAAGGGATATCCTTAAAATTTTGTTCAGTAACACAAACCAAGAAGAGGTTTCAAAGTTACTTTTCACATAAAATTGCAAATCTGACCTCATAAATATGCATAAAGATCGGCTAAAACATTCACCTGGGGGCCTGGAGAGATGGCTCAGTGGTTAAGAACACTGGTTCTTGTAGACGTCCTGGGTTTGAATCCCAGCACCCACATGGCAGTTAACTGTCCATAACTAGTTCCAGGGAATCCGACAGCCTCTTCTGTCCTCCTCAGGCATTGCGGGACATGGGTACATTTACCTATACTCAGGCAATACATACATACACATAAAATTAAATAATCACCTGGAACCCGTATAATTTCCTCTCACAGTGGGCACAACACCCTATTTTATGCCTTCCACTGAAAGTTCTGTGAAATCTTAGTGTTGCGAGGGAAGAGCAAGGTGCTTTCCTTGTTCAGCTCTCATAGCTTCTAGGTCTGCCCTGTGAGGGGCGCACCCACCTTTGCAGGAGAAAGATGCCCTGGAGACATTTGAACATCCCTCCAGCTACCAGACTATTGAAAATAACGGCCCTGAAGGAATTCAGATTTTCCCAAGAATCTGTGGGTGTGCTGGGGGAAAGAAAGGCTTCAGCCTTTCTGAAAGGGCCAGCCAGAGGAGGAGCTTGCCTCCCGAGATGAGATTTCACATAGCTCTGTCAAGGCACAGACTGTCACCTTAGATGAGCTGAGAAGGTGATGGGTCGGTGATGGGCGGGACCACGCCCTGACCAGGACTGCTGTGCTGGACAGCTTTAGTTGTCATCTTGACACTGTTTAGAGACAGCCTCAGCTGGAGAGTTGCCTCCATTGGACTGGCCTGTGGCCATGTTTGTGGAGCATCTTCTTGATTGTTGAGTGATGTGGGAGGGCTCTGCCCACTGTGGGTAATCCCCCCGCCCCCCGCCCAGGCAGATGGTCCTGTATTGTTTAAGAAAGCAGGAGAGATGGCTCAGCGGTTGAGAGCACTAGCTGTTCTTGCAGAAGACCAGGTTTCAAATCCCAGCACCCACATGGCAGCTAACAACTGTCCGAAGCTCCAGTTCTGTCCTCCGCAGGCATTGCACGTCACAGGTGCACTTACCTACATGCAGGCAATACATGCATACACATAAAATAAAAAATAATATTTAAAAAAAAAAAAAAGGTTAGGCATGGGCCAGGGGAGCAGCCAGTAAGCAGCGTTCCTCCATGGCCTGTGCTTCAGCTCCTGCCTCCAGGTTCCTGCCCTGAGTTCATGTGTTGGGCTCCCTCAGTAATGAACTTGGGAGATATAAGCCAAATAAACCCTTCCCTCAAGTTGGTATCGGTCAGAGTGTTTTGTCACAGCAATTGAAAGCAAACTAGTTGAAAACTGCTTAGCTATGAAAACCCTCTTGCGCTCTATTTAAACCTAAGCCTCGTGTCAGTCCCCCAAAGATAGACTCAGGAATCAATCATCAGACTCGATTGTTCCGCTTCCCAATGTTCCTTCCCTTCTCTGCCTTCTTTCTCCTTTTTAGTTGACGTGTTGGGGGTAAGTGAGAGCCCAGGCAATCCAGGAAGAAATCAGGTCCTTGCTCTCCCTGGCAGCTCTATATTTGAGACTGCTACCTATGCGAACCTTGCAGAAACAGACTGAATTGATCGGCGCTCTAACTCTACTCTCCTCTCAACCATGTTTTTCCTCCCTAGGAAGACCTGCAGTGAACTCATCTGATCTGCTCGTCTGTGCACCTCATCTGGGCTCCGATGCAAAGCCCTAGGTCAGGGTCCAGTCAGTAAACAAGCCCACTGGGGATGGGTATCTAAGAGACACTACCCCAAGGTCACTTTTTCTGAGGTACTCGGAGAAGACAACCCCCACATTTGTCCCTGCTTGCCATTGTCAAGAACTCATTTGAACCTCACCACCAACACACATCAGAAAAGTAAGCCCAGCCATCTGTCACCTTCCTAGTTTCAGAGTCTCCTGCTTCCCCACTCATCCTGTATGCCAAGACCCACCCCCAGGAGAGTAAGCCCAAGCCATATCCAGCCTTCCCCAACCGGAAGCAGAGCATACTTGCTCTGGAATGAAGGTAAACATCCACTGGAATAAACACTCATTTTCAAAGCACGCCCGTCATGTCTGGCCTCTCAGTGGGCTCATCCACGATCTTTTGGATTGAGGGAGACGGGCGTTTCCTCTAAACCACCAGGCTTCTGTTTCCTTTGGCACTTCCAGGTTACAGTGCCACCTGAAGCTGCCCACCAGCTGCCCCTGGGGGCACCAAGTGCTGCTCTTTTTCCACAGGCCCCAGCCCTTGCTCATTCAAGCAGTACCTGCCTCACTCAGGAACCAAATGCTGCTTCATAAAGGCAACTTCCTTTTTCTGGTGCCCTCAGGCCGGTGGGACACATAGAACTGTCCTGAGCTGACCCAGTGCTTCTAGAAAAATCCTGCCTGTCTCCACCACAGAGAACAAAGTAAACACTTGAAACTCCCCCAGGTGAGGACCACCAAGCTCTTAGCCAGCAGAGGCCTGAGGATAATAGGGCATCAGTCCCATGTCAGGCACCATGTTTACCTGAGGTCCTCGTGCTCGTGACCTCTTGGGCAAGTCCTGGGATCTTCAGCCTGCCTGTAGCTGTAGCCCCAAGTGGCCTTACCTCTGCCTGCCCCCTTCCCGGGCAGGGGTGGCTCTCAGCCCACCCAGGCCCACGTTTGCCTTATTGCCTACAGGACACACCCCTTCCTTGAGTCTCAGACAGCCTCCTGTCCCCCCGCCATCGCACATACAGAGTCTTGAACCCCCAGTCCCTTCTGCATGAGCTTACCCTTTTCTCCCCTCTGTACCTTTGAAAAGACACCAAATGGCAGCATCTTTGAGAGCTTCATAGTGTATTCAAGTGGTCAGCCCTGAAAAGCATCCCTCACAACATGCAGTCCTAGATGTAGCGTTGAACTCAAAACCCAGCCGTGTCATTGCAC